ACACTGGGATGGGAAGCCTAAAGCTTTGAAAACATTTTCCCCTTTAATGCTTTAGTGAACAAAAGGGGTTTTTTTTGGGGGGGGGGGAGTTTGGCAGTGTCTGGAAGCCTAACATCAAAATGATGATTGAGCAACAACGGGCCTTCTGCAAACCACCAGACTTAAGAGTCGCTTGGGATCAATGCTCCCTCTAAGCTGTGGAGTCTTGTGAGCAAAAATTCTACTTTGTGAGCTACTGGCATTAAAGTTGTGAGCGAATGGTTTGGACACTGCATAAATTAATTAGCTCTGGAGCCCTCCTTCCCGAGCTAAGACAAAAATGTGTGAGCCGGAGGCTAAGAAAAGGTGAGCTGGCTCACACTAACTCAGCTTAGAGGGAATACTGCTTGGGATCTGTCCATTTGGAGGGAAGAGCGCAATCCACCTTGGCTTTAAAAAAAGTGCCAAGGTTATGACTCGTGTACAGGATCAAATTAGAGAATCACAAAGAAAAAACCACACACATTTGCAAGGAAGGGCAGGAAATTAGCGTTACTATGCAGCTGCGCTAGGGCGTCAGTGACAATACCCCCACATTTTTTTCAGTTTAGTGGCACAAGACTAAAAAAGCTCTCCAGACCTTCTGCCAGAGGACTCCTCCCCCATACAAATCACAGCCCTGTGCAAAGCATGGTGGCGTTGCAGCCGACTTTGCCCAGACAAGCGTGTGCACATACACATGCACGTTGCCAACAATCAGCTTGCAGTGCCAGTGGGTTCTGCCATGCATTCTGTACACTCAGTATGTTCCCCCATATTATGAGATCGTGTGACTCCCGTTTTTCACAGTGGCCAATAACATAGCAGAGAATTTCCCAGTGCGCCGCAATAAGAAAAATGGGGCTGGGCAGCTGCTTGTCAGTTTCAAAATAAAGTCTGGTCAGTTTCAACATTGGGTTTCCCCCCTTTGCCTGCTCTCCTTTCTGTTTCTTTTCATTCAAGGAATGCTAAAATGCATGTGCAAAACCTTAACCATAAGGATTTAAATGGAAGGCGTTTGCTGGATGCTACTGCACAGCTGCAATAGGGCAATTGCATTAAAAAACCCCAAACCTTTGGACGCCACCCCCCACACATCACAAGTGACGTTCCACCCCGATAAGTGCGTTTTCTTGGTTTTAGCTGCAGACTAAAAGAAAAAGAATGGTGCGTAAGGCGGGCATGGAATCCAAAGTCAAGATTAGAGGCCTGCTGCTCTGACAATCTGCAGTGAGGTGTGCTTGTGTAATAGGCCAAACGTAGTTCTGCTGCTTAAGACCAACACGACTCTAAATCTTATTTAGAGCATTTATATCCTATAAGAGAAGGGTGTTTGTTTTTTGCTCTCTAGTTGCAGCCAAGCTTGTGGCAGCCCCACGGGGTTTTCAAGGCAAGAGATGCTTTGAGGCAGTTTGCCATTGGCTGCCTCTGTGTAGCAGCCTTGACTTCTGTGAGGATCTCTGTGGCGTCCTGCTTCTTGGGGAGACAGTTTTACCTTTAAAACACACTCTCTGTACCTTAACTTGGTAGATTTCTGCTGCCACCAGGAATTAAAAATTCCAAATCTCTCTTTTGGTAGAATGACCTAGGGTCTGGGCACTTCAGAGGATTATGTGGCCCTGAGGAAGGACTATTCTAATTTCTGGGATAAGTTTAAACAAAAAAATTATTTATTTATTTATTTATTTGATTGATTTCTATCCCACCCATTCTGGCCTAGGCTGGGTCAGGGCGGCTTCCAACAAGATAAAACTTCATAATACATAAAACACATTCATCACAATGGATACTAATTTGATGAACCATACAATGATATAAACATGTTAAAATCAACAATATTAAAATGCTAGAAAATCCAATATTCAGTAATTCTATTGGTCTGCTTCCATAAAATGATTTATTTAATCTAGAACGAAATAGGTTTCTGGTTATTTTGAACTGTTGCTGATAAAAGGAACTTGTAAATATAACTGGCAACACTTGGCATCACAAACAGTCTCTCAAACTCCAAAACTCCCTCTGACAGGCTTAGACACTCAGTCTAATCTCTCTCTCATCTATATAGCCACACAGGCTGAACTCTTTGTCTTATTCACACAGGATGGACTCAAAAACTCCCTTTGTCACACAGACTATGCTCTCTCTTCAAGCTTCACACACAGAATCACTTCATAGACACCCCTCCTCCCACACTCTCAGTCATCAGCCAGTCACATCACACTTGTCTCTCTCTCTATCACTCTTCTTACAGTACTGCAGTCACACTAAACATTTAAAGAAACACACACACCAAAAATGGAATCATTACAGTCTCCCATCCACGTATAGGCCAGGCTGACCTTACTTAGCTTCTGAGACCTGACAGGATCAGGCCAGCTTGGGCCATCCAGCTCAGGGTGGAATAATAATTAAGTCCCCATCAAGGCGCAGCCAACTTATGGTGACTCCTCGTGGGGTTTTCAAGGCCAGAGAGGAGCGGAGGTGGTCTGCCATTGCCTGCGTCCGCTTAGCAGATGCATCCGAGTGCTCACCGTGGCTGACCCCGCTTAGCGTCCGAGATCTAACAAGCTCAAGCTAGTCAGGGCTGTTCAGGCTGCTTATAAGAGGGGGGTGGTTAGGAGCGCGAACTCCAATCTGGGAGAACTGGGTTTGATTCCCCACTCCTCCACATGCAGCTACTGGTGTGACCTTGGGCCAGTCACAAGTTCTCTCAGAGCTGTTCTCAAGGGCAGTTCTCAAGAGAGCTCTCTCAGCCCCACCTACCTCGCAGGGTGTCTGTTGTGGGGAGGGGAAAGGAAGGGGATTGTAAACCGCTCTGAGAGTAAGCACAGAATGTGGTCAATCTGCAGTCAGCCAAAAAAGATATAGCAAATTCGTATTCAAAGCTACAGATATACAGTGAAATTCAGCGAAAACTCAGAAGCGGCAAATTAAAAGGCACCATCCACAGTGGCTCCAGAAGGGCAAAGGTGGCATGGGACAGCATAAAACAAGTCCCCTAAACAGCAAAGGAGCCAGATGCCCAACAAGCGTCTCTGTGCCCCAGGACCCTTGTCAAAGACCCTCTGGTTGAGACGCGTTTGTGAGTGGTGCTGAAAGACCCCTTTGAGCTGAGCTGAGTGTGGCTGGGAGTGCCCGCTCACCTCCCCACAGGCAGCCCAGGCCAGGCGCCCAGCTTCGAGCGCAGTCAGGGGGTATCTGGGTAGAGATGTTTGGGTGTGCTCGGTCCCTCGACATGCCCCGTCGTGTCTCTTGAAAATGGTGCATTCAGTTCCCTGCAGTTTTCACGCTGCATCTGTGATGGGTCAGGTGCACTTCTCCGTTCTTAAACCAATGATTTTTTAATTCAAAAAACAAAAAATCCCCCCTGAAAAAGACCCAGCATTCAGTTTTATTCTTTCAAAACGCAATTTTAAACGGAAACGTCTGTGAGGAAGTCAGCAAGTTAGTTCTTGGTGGCCTTATGAGGGACGGCCTGAGGGCTTTTTAAATGGGGTGGGGGCACGTGGACACACGCGAAGCTGCCTTCTACTGAATCAGGCCCCCTTGGTCCACCAAAGTCAGCCTTCTCTACTCAGACCTGCAGCTGCTCTCCGGGGTCTTGGGCAGACGTCTTTCATGTCACTTACTGCCTGGTCTTTTTTAACTGGAGAGGCTGCCAGGGATTGAACCTGGGACCTTCTGTAGGCCAAGCAGACGCTCTATCACTGAGCAATGGCCCCTCTCCAAAGAAGAAGAAGAAGAGATTGGGTTTATACCCCATGGCCCTTCACTACCCAAAGGAGTCTCAGAGTGGCTTACAGTCTCCTTTCCCTTCCCCTCCCCACAACAGACACACTGCGAGGTAGGTGGGGCTGAGAGAGCTCTTGACAGAAACTGCTCTTTTTTCAAGAACAGCTCTTATCAGAGCTATGGCTTGCCCCGCAGCTGCGAGTGGAGGAGTGGGAAATCACACCCGTTTCTCCCAGGTTAGAGTCCGCCCACTTAACCACTACACCAAACTGGCTCTAAGGCTAAGGAAAGGTGATTGGCTCTAAAAACAGCCCTCCCAAATAGACAGTCTGACCAGGGTGAGGTCCAGGGGCACAATAGCAAGGCTGAAACCAGGACTTCAGGATAAGGGGCAGTATTGCTGTGAAATGGGCCTGATCCTGTGTATCTGTTCTGCCAATGGTGGCATTGTCCACAGGGGAAAAGAGCCTGGCTGTGTCTCAAGAGGCTCAGCTTTGCAGTCGGGAAAGACTCTTTGAGCTGCAGGAAACTGTTGGAATACTGGATTTGCAGGATCCAAATCATATGAGCAGCCTAAGGTTTTGGAAGTGTGTACGATAAAACGCCAGGAGCCTGCAATTCTGGTGTCTAGGATGGAGCTATCAAGCTCTCCATAGAGCTAAAAAGGAATTGTGTGATTCTTTGCTCGACAGGTTTTCAAGCCCCATCACTGCCGGCGAGCCGAAGCCAGAGAAACTGGCCGAGCTGAACAGGAAGCCTGCAAACAAACCACAAGAGAGTCAAGAGGTGAGAGAGTCTGGTGGAGTTTGGGCCTTTTGACAAACAGAATCCCGTTTCAGTGTCACGCAGTGCTCCGCTCACCCACGCAGCTGTACAAGAAATGGGCCCGCTGCCGTTTAAGAACAACCTAATCCTAATAAGCTTAGCCGGCTAATTCCGTTGCTGAACTAGACAAGGCAGGGAAATCGTATGCCGGGTCTGTGGTCACTTTGTACACCTGTTTTTGATCATAAAAGAATAACATATCTCACTTAGTAAAATAGTGTCCTAAATGTGTGTTCTCCCCCCACGTACCTCCTGTGGTTTCCTTTTGTTTGTTCCGGCCATTATGCCCTTAGCTAATTCTTGCCAGATACAGCACAGAGACTGCAGGGAGTCCCAAAAACCTGGTTTTGTCCAGTTTGCAGGAACGTTTGATTCATAAGGAGGTATGTAAATAAGGAAGGCTGTTTGACTTCAGGGGGGTACACAAATGCGTATAGGCATCTGCGAAGGTATGTAGGGTCACATAAATAAGTAGCTTCGGGCATCTGACAGAGGGAGTTCATACCCTGGAAATCTTGTTGCTCCTCCAGTGCTGCTGGACTTGAATCTAGCTCCGGCGCACAGTTCTGTGGCTTTGAGACGTAGTAGTCCGATAAACTTAATGGAAGGCTTGCATGCAGTGTTCCCTCTAAGCTGAGTTAGTGTGAGTTAGCTCACAGTTTTATACCCTCCAGCTCACACATTTTTAGCTCAGGAAGGATGTGGCTCCCGAGCAAACTGATTTATGCAGCAGCCAAGTCACTCGCTCACCACTTTAATGCCAGTAGCTCACCAAGTAGACCTTTTGCTCATAAGACTCCACAGCTTAGAAGGAGCATTGTTTGTACGACTCAGGTTATTTTCCTAAAATTCTGGGTACCTGAAGCCGCCTTGTACGGAGTTAGGCCATTGGTCTGCCACAGTCAGTATTGTCTGCTCAGACCGGCAGCTGCTCTCCAGGGTTCTCAGAGGTCTCACATTACCTACTGGCCATTCCATTCAACTGGAGGTGCCGGGGATCGAACCTGGAACCTTTTGCATACCAAACAGAGGCCCCACTACTGAGCCACGGCCCCTCCCTTTCTCTGCCCGAGGCTCTGGAGAGCTACTGCCTGTCAGTCGGCGTGAGTAACCTGGTTAGACCTGCGGTCTGAGTCAGTAGAAGTCAGCGTCATGTGCTCAGGTGCAGGACTATTTTGTAGGAATGCACAGGAACGGAGTTGGCCACAGCCAGCAGGAACTCATTAGCATAATAGGCCACACCTAACAGCAGACACTTATTAGGGTTGGCTAGATTAGGGGTGTGTGGCCTAACATGCAAAGAAGTTCCTGCGACAAAAACAGCCCAGGGCTTTGACAACAAAGTAAACAGAATAAGAAGCGTGGTAGCATGTGGGTGTGGCCTAATATGCTAATGAGCTGTGCTGTCAGGGGTGTGGCCTAATATGTGAATGGGTCTCTGCTGTTGGGTGTGGCCTATTATGCTAATGAGTTCCTGCTGGGCTTTTTCTACCAAAAAAGCCCTGCTCAGGTATATTGACCCAGGAAGACCTTGCTATGCCCTGATCAATTCAGTCACACGGTGAAGAAAAATTGCGCGTGTTCTGGGTGGAGAAGTAAATACTTGGAAATGTTAATGCTCTTAAAAACACCAGGTTGTTTATGGGGAGAACCACAGAAATACGTGCAGTATTTCCTTTCTTATAAAACAAAATATGCTTTACTGCTCTAACCTAACATACGTTGTTTGCACCTTCGTTACATTGGGCATATGGATGAAATTTAAAAGTGTTTAGTGCCTTAACAGGAACTACAAATGTTGCTTAGTATTTGCCCTCTGGGAAGTGGGAAGAAGAGAAGCTATAAATAGATGCTATACATTTTGTAATGAACCAAAGGCTTATTGTTTGGGCTGGGAAGAAGTGGTCACACAGTCCCAATGTTAGGGAGACTGTCAGCAGGCTGGGCTATGGAGCTAAACTTGAAACAGCCTTGGAAACAGTGACCTCTTCAGTAACGCATTATCATCTTATTTATCTGAGCCTTTTTACCCCGCTTTCCTCTCCCAATGAGGAGAGCCAGTTTGGTGTAGCGGTTAAGTGCGTGGACTCTAATCTGGTTTGATTCCCCACTTCTCCTCCACTTGCAGCTGCTGGATGACCTTGGGCAAGCCGTAGTTCTGATAAGAGCTGTTCTTGAAAAAGAGCCGTTTCTGTCAGAGCTCTCTCAGCCCTGCCTGCCTCCCAGGGTGTCTGTTGTGGGGAGGGGAGGGGAACGGAGTCTGTCAGCCGCTCTGAGACTCTGAGTGAAGGGCGGGGGTGGGTATAAATCCAACCTCTTCTTCAGTGGGGACCCAACATCACAGCAGGATTCAAATGAGAACAATGGAAAGTAGAGCAAACAGAATATCCCCTTAAGGGAGAAATGTGCTGCGTTGGCCGAAGCTGCTTCTGATCTCATCTCGGGAGCCTGTCTTCTGGCTAGCTGGGTTGGGGGCTCCCAGCCACCGGGTGAGATCCGGAGTGGCCTGGCCCTTCGGGCGACCTCAGGTTTGAACGGAACCTTCAGAAAGACCGAGGCAGGTGCCCAGCTGCAGGTGCTCAGAGCAAGTCACCTGGGGCAGGGTGGGCGGGCTTGGCAAAGCTTGATGGGGTCCCATCCTATGCTCTCTCTAAGCTGCGGGGTCTCGTGAGCAAAAATTCTACTTTGTGAGCTCCTGGCATTCAAGTTGTGAGCGAGCGATTTGGCTGCTGCATTAAATCAGTTTGCTCTGGAGCCATCCTTCCTGAGCTAAGACGAAAATGTGTGAGCCAGAGGCTAAAAAACTGTGAGCTGGCTCACACTAACTCAGCTTAGAGGGAACACTGGTCCTATCTTACGCACAGATTATCTCAGAGAAAGATCTTCAAACTAGACCTGTAACAATTTCACCTGTAACAAAAGACAGGATAGAATTTGGTAGGATTTTTTAGGATGTTTTCTCCAGTGCCCACTTTTACATTTAGAAAACTTAAAAAAAAAAAAAGTCCGGGGGATGATAGAAAAATGCCTCCCCCCCCAGTCAGTGCTATTCTCCCCCTCCCCCGGCCTTCATGTCTCTCATTTAAAAAAAAAATCATCTTTGAATTTAAATGGAGCTACTTGTTAACACTGCTGTATTCACTGATGACAAAGTATTGAGAGGGTCTCATGGTTATAATTTCATGGTTTCATGCTTAGAATGCTGGAGAAAGGCTGTTTTTGTAAAACGGGTTTGCAGACCGAATGGAATCCTTTTGCCTCGCCTGGCAGAATTCTGCCTTGGCACAGTCTACCCCTGCTGCCCAGTGCCTGAGGGCTTGTTACGTGGTGCCGTGTTGGTGAAGCCTCCTGTGCCTTCCACTGGTTGCTGCTGTGCTTACCGTGCATGTTGACTGCGGAGGTCCTGCAGCGGTCACAGGGGATTGGCACAAGCCTGAAGCCCTCTGGGATAAACCACTGGATCTGATCCTCCCAGTAGGAGTCCTGAAGTGTAGACTGTGTGTTAAATTGTGCTATAAATTTTCTGTTTTTGAAGCTGTGTTTGCCTCTCGGTAGAGTATCGCTACGCCTGCCCTGGTGGCATTTAGAGAGGCTGTCTCAAAAATCTCTGTATAAGCAGCCGGGCTGTTTGTTTTCTTTGTTTCAGATGAAGGCCGACCCGCTGCTTGGGACAGACTCTGGAGAAGGGCATGCCGTTGGAGTGCCGTGGAGGCCGCAGCAGCCTGTGAGAATCCTGCACATGCCGAGAGACGGCAGCTTTGCCAGAGAGAGGCACGGTGGCCCTGCTGCCGTTGCAGATCACGACGCGCGTGCAAGTTCCACGCTCCCTGCAGAAAGAACATGTATTAAAACTGTCAGGGCGACGATGTTTGAGCATCATGTGCAAAGGCACAAAATAGCTGACGATCGCCTGGGGGCCGAGTCCCCCTCGCAGCCAACGAATGAGGTTTCTGGGAACTGCAGGGAATCGCGTACGGGGAAAGCCGCAGAGTCCAAAATGTCCTCCAAGGAGGCGCCCCGATATGGCGGTGGATGCCAAAAAACGCGGAAGAGCAAACTCTTTAAATAAAGAGAGAGTCCTACAGGATACCGCATGGAAGAAATACACCAGCATGGAAAATTTTGAGAACTCCACTCCAAAGCACATGGGAGACCCCTTAGCGTGCCAAAGGATAGAGCCCAGATATGAAATTCTCCAGACTGTTGGCAAAAGGGCTCAAAGCGAAGCCGTTGTCATGATTTCTGAGGATAAAGCTGTGACTCTGCGAAGTCGAAGGTCCCTGAAAGAGAGGAGGAAACCCGGAGACAGTTTTGTGGATGCTTCCTGGTCGCGTAGTCTGGACCTTAAGCGTGACTGCTGGAAAGAGGACGGCTTTGTTTCCAGAATGAAGGACGGGGGGGAAACTACGGCAGAAGCAGATCCTTTGCAAGCACTGAGCACCTCCCTTGGCCAGCATGGTTTCAGTGAGCAAATAGCAGAGTTGGACAAAAATCAGATTGGACAGAAGCACGGAACTGCGAAAGCTTCACGCTTGACAAACAGAAGCAAAGACGTGGGTGCAACAGATCCCAGGGTCTCTACAGTCTCTTTAGAACTGGAGAAAGAGAAGAGCAAAGGTAAGACAGAAGGTTCCAAAGCGCCGAAACGCTTACCTGAGGATTTTGGAGGAGGGCCCGGCAGGGTGGATGGTAGCGGCGCTGGAGCCAACGTCCGTCCGAGCGCAGCTTCCGGCAGTCCCAGCGAGCCAGAGAGGCGTCTTTCGGGCAGTGGGGGTCGCCAGTGGCCAACAGTCAGCAGCAGGGTTCCCCACCACAGTGCAGACATGAGAACCTCCGAGCAGGAGGAATCCAAAGCGGCCGGTCCCAGACCCGAAGGCCCCCCATTTCCACACTTTGAGACCGAAGAGCCGGTGAAGAGAAGCGGCCGTCGTGCTCCTGCAGAAAGGTGGCGGCGGAAGACGTTGCCTCACGACATCAGGTTTGAGGAGGTGGAGGGGACCCTGGGCGAAGAGGATGCGAAGGGGCTCCTCCGGAGAGACTCCTTGCAGTTCCACGAGGGCTCGATCGCGAAGAAAAGCAGGAAACCCAGGAGCCTCGCGGAGCCGAAGGAGGGGACTTCGGTCTCTCCCAGCTGCCCGGAGGACCCCTTTCACGACCAGCCCTCTCCTTCGAAACCAAAGGCAACCTATTTTGCTGTCACGTACCAGATCCCGGATGAAGCCGAAGGCAGCGCCGGCAAAGAACTTGCTCACAAAAGCAGGTGGTTTTCTTCGCTGGTGGAAAACGCGTCGTTTGCTTCTAACGCCGGCGCTCCCGGAAGGCCCCATCCCTCATCAGATCGCCCGTTCTGCTCTGCCGCTCCAGATGTGCCGTGCTCTTTGGACAAGCACTTTGGCAGGGGCTGGGAGGAGGCCGGAGAAGGAGATGTCCCGGCTCTTTTGACGAAAGGGGCATTTAGATACCCAGTCAGCGAAAGGAGAGATGAGAGCTGGAGATCTCTTGAGAGGCAGGTAGAGGATGCTAAAGATAGAATTCCGGGCATCGGTCCTCCCCTTCACTCAGTAGCGGCCTCCTCGTCAGGCGAGCAGAAGTTCCCTTTGTATTCGAGGCATCTTCATCAAGGGGGAGACCATTTGGATCAAAAGCAGCACAGCGACTCTAGCTATGGCATATCCAAAGAGCAGGTTGCTGACAGTTACAGGTCGAGAGTTCTCGACATCGATGCTTTGATGGCAGAGTACAAAGAAGATTCTCTGAAGCCCTCCGCGGTTTGGGGTAGGAGAGACGGGGAAGAGAGCCGCTCGCTTCCTTGGGAGAAGCGTAGAAGAAGCTCCTCGGATAAAACGTCTTTCAGTTACAGCCGGAAAGATCCACAAGCACCGGATGGTTCCCCTGGAAGCCCTCGGCAGGATGCCTACAGTACGGAAACCCGCAGGCCCGAGAACGTGGGCGTAAGTGAGAGAGAGAGGCTGGGCAGCCAGGAGCCGCGTTCCGTCCAGCACAGGGACGAGAGGTTCAGCCCCCCTCCCTGGGGAAGGCCTTCTGCGCCGGACTTGCCCCCAGATGCATCCAGCGCCAAGAAAAAGACATTCCTCCTGGACGAGGAGCCGGGAGTGAACCTCATGCTGTGGTCCCAAATAGCAAAACACGGAGAGCGCAAGGTGCAGATTTCCGATCCTCTCGGTTTGGACTGGAAGACGGAGGCAGGCTTCGCGCTTCGCCCCTCCTTGGTGCTTGCCGACAGCATCTTGCAGAAAGGAACGTGCCCAAAGCAGCGGGCGACAGATGCGCCTCCAGAGGGTGATGGGCACAGCGCAAGGAGGAGCCGTGCGGCCGGGAGCCCCCAGCAGGGCAGCTCTTCTGCAGGGCGGAGGCAAAAGGAGCGGGACACCTCTGCTTTGGCAAACGCATCGCCGGATTTGAAACATTCGTGCTCTGAGAAAGCTCACCCGGCCAAAGCGAAGGGCAGCCGGGTCCCCGTTGGGCCTGAGCCGGGGGAGAGGAGGGACCAGCACAGATTCCGCCAGAGTCTCCCCTCAGAACAGGCGGATAACGTTCAGCCAAGCAGACGGAGTGCCTCTCAACAGCGACCCCCATTCTGGGAAGAGAAGAAGGTGCGTGCGGAGGGAGAGCTGGGGTCTTGGGAGGAGAGAAGCCGGCCGGGACGGGTGGGGGGCAAGGCTCCCTCTAAGCCGTGGAGTCTTGTGAGCAAAAAATCCTACTTTGTGAGCTCCTGGCATTCAAGTTGTGAGTGAGTGATTTGCCTGCTGCATAAATCAGTTTGCTCTGGAGCCATCCTGCCTGAGCGGAGACAAAACTGTAAGGTGGAGGCTAAAAAACTATGAGCTAGCTCACACTAACTCAGCTTAGAGGGAACAGTGGTGGGTAGGCCTATGAACCTTTGGTAGAGCCTCATTTCAGTCCCCGTCCCATCCCCGTCCCCCGGTGCATGTCGTGCTGTGCCCACTCCTGGGGCACCTTTCTGGGTGCAGCTGCAGTTCAGCGCATGCAGTGCTTGGGTGTGGCTGAGAGACTCCTGGCATCTGCCTCTCCTCACAGGTTTCCCAAGGGCTGGGGTGTTGCAGGCGTGTCCCTGGTCCCTGTGCGCGCGCTCTCTTGTCCTAACCACACTTTCCCCCCTAGGACCCTGGAGAAGAACGGAGCAGGCCGGAGCCCAGGAGCCCGGGAGCCGGAATCCCTCCACACCTGGCTTTGCAGCAGAGGGGCCGCAGCTTCTACAGAGACCGGCGAGTGGACCACTGGGCAACGGTAGGCACTTGCTTTGATCGGTCGCCGCTCACCCGCTGGGCGCGTCTGGATGACGACCAGAGAACTCCACCGCCAGGAGGCGCTCGTGAGGGTGGTGGAAGTGTGATCAGAACACTTTTGTCTGAGTTTTGTTTGTTTCCGCGGGGCTGCCCTGAGAGAATCGGTTTGTTGTGGGGGTGGGAATGCCAGACTAGGTGGGGGGGGGTTCAGGTTCTCACTTGGCTGTGAACCCTGCTGGGGGGCCTTGGCCTGCTGCTGTCAGCCTCTCCGAGCTCTCAGAGGAGAGAATCACTGACTCCTCCCCCAGCTTCTCAGAAGATAGTTAGAACCAGGGGTCATTTCCTGCAGGAGCGCACAGGAGCGGAGCTCCTGCAGTAAAGAGCCCAGGGGGTGGGCACATGCAACAAGCCCCACCCCCTGCTCCAAGCAGCCCAGGGCCACGAGGAGCACAAGGATCAGCGCTCCCTTCCCCCCCATAGCTAGCGATCCAAAACAGTCCAGTGGAGCTTGAGCGGTGGGTGTTGCCTTCTGACACACTTCCGGTGATGTCAGGGGGTGTGGCATATGCAAATGAGTTATGCTAATGAGTTATGCTAATGAGCTCCTGCACCTCTTTTTCTACAAAATGACCCCTGGTTAGAACCCCTTAAGTTCAGTGTGCATACCTGTAGAATGGTGTTTGTGTACCTGTAGAATGGTGTTTGTGTACCTGTAGAATGGTGGCCCTCAAACGGGAGGGTCCAGGACCCCTCGGGCACAGTCCCAGGTAGCATCAGGATCCTCAGGCAGTCAAGACGTGAATGGCGTGGGCGTCTGGAGCAGAAGATCTTTATTGATCTGGGCTGCTCCACCCCCGTTCCACACCTGGGTGGGAAATGCTTTTGTGTTAAGTCTGCTTTCATTGGTGTGGCTTTACGGGGTGTGTGTGTGTGTGTCCAAAGGGGTCCTATAACAGCTGGCTGCGGGCAGAGAGGTCTTCATGCTCCCCCACAGAGCAGACGGCCGGCTGAGGAATGGGCTGAAGTCCGAATAAGTTTGGAAGCCTCGTGCCTGAATTCAGAGGGTCTGAGACAGAACATCAGACTGGGAGGCACTCCGGGGGCGCACGGGGAATCAAGGTGTTCTTTGCTTTGCTGGGGGGGAAAGCACATTTTCCTTTAGAGGCACCCTCTGGGCAGGTGTGGTTGGATCATTTGGAGTCATCTGCACAGTTCCGGTCGCCCTGAGGTCTCAAAAAGACATTTTCACTGCCGGAGAAAGTGCGGAAGATTCAGGGGTCAGATTACCTTTCTTGTCAGGGGAGGTTAAAGAGTTTTGGACTGTTTCATTCAGAAAAAAGACACCTAAGGGGGTGGTGATATGATGGAGGTTTGTAAAATTGTACATGGAGGGGAGTGGAAATATATATATATATATAGAGAGAGGGAAATGCCATATCTGAAAGGATCTCTCCAATGTTCCGGAAGACGTAGTGATGGATTCCCCCCCCCCCCAATGAGGTTTGAGTCCATTCAGTTAATGATTGTAAATGAACTTGAGAGCCTTTGAAGAGATTTTTTTTTTAAAGACTCAAGAGCAGAAATCAAAACTAGGTTTGCCATATTATGCTGCAACATACTGAAAAAGATCAGAGAAGATACTCAGGTCTTTACAGAAGGTCAAAAAGTTCAACAATATCAGTAGCCTCTTTAGGTCAGGACGTACTCAGGCAGGGCTTTTTTTGAAACAGGAGCTCCTTTGCCTATTAGGCGACACACCCCTAATGTAGCCAATCCTCCAAGAGCTTACAGTAGCCCCTGT